AAGTCTACAGATCTAGGAGAAGGCCGGGAATAAAGAGAAGGATTACAGCCAACATCCCCTGATCAGCACACCACACATGTCCCCAGTGAGCCGTCCTATCACTAGAGCATTGTCTGAATGCCAAAGCAGCGCGGGGTACTTAGGTCAGGACCACAACGTCCCTTCAGGCAAATATAAAAGACACAAATGAACACAGCTCTATAATTATTAGTTTATCAATAAATGTGATTGGTTTTTAATGCAAACAGTTGAATGTGATTTGGTATCAGCCTCTTGCATCTCAATATACAGCAGAGCTCAGAGACAGGAGGGGGAAGCAGTGTAAACAGCCAATCAAATGCAAGAGCATGCTGAAAGGTTGAGAGAGCAGAGTGACAGATGAGCACATCCATTTGCTTCTTTACCATCCAGTAACTGGAAAAGGTGGGAAGACCTGAAAGGGATAGTGAAACTGCAGCAGAAAAAAAAAAAAAAAAAAAAAAAAAAAAAAAAAAAAAAGGTATACTGCCTTGCAAGACTGGGCTGTGTAGCAAAAGGCTCCTTTCGCAAAAGCAGCGGCATTTACCACCCTTTGAAAAGTGTTCCAGTGCAGATCAATTTTCACGAGGATGGGGACTCATCCACCTTACTAACCGTTCTGTATCAGCCACCCCTCTCTGCCAATCCCTCCACTGGCTTCCCATTGCCCAAGGGATAAAATTTAAAAAAACATAAAGCCATTTATAACTCTGCCCTAAATTACATCACCAATCTTGTAATATCAAATATCACCCAAACCGTCCTCTCCGCTCCTCGCACGACCTCCTGCTCTCTAGCTCCCTTGTCTCTCCTCCCATGCTTGTCTCCAGGACTTTTCCAGAGCTTCCCCCATCCTCTGGAACTCTCTACCCCAACTTATCAGACTATAGCCTACTCTGCCCACTTTTAGGCGATCTCTGAAAACCTCTCTTCAGGGAAGCCTATCCTGCCTTCAGCTAACAATGGAATCTTCTATTCCTTCTACCAGTCCATCCCCCACAGTTATTACCTTTTGTACCACTAGCCCCTCCCTCTTATATTGTCAGCTCCAAGGATCAGGGCCCTCCTTAACCCTCTTGTATTGAACTGTATTGTTGCTGTATTGTGTCCCGTTATATTGTAAAGCGCTGAGCAAACTGTTGGAGCTATATAAATCCTGTATAATAATAATAATAATAATATATAAATCCTGTATAATAATAATAATAATATATAAATCCTATATAATATATAAATCCTGTATAATAATAATATATAAATCCTATATAATAATAAATATATAAATCCTGTATAATAATAATATATAAATCCTGTATATAATAATAATAATAATATATAAATCCTGTATAATAATAATATATAAATCCTGTATAATAATATATAAATCCTGTATAATAATAATAATAATATATAAATCCTGTATAATAATAATATATATAAATCCTGTATAATAATAAATAAATCCTGTATAATAATAATAATAATAATAATATATATAAATCCTGTATAATAATAATAATAATAATATATAAATCCTGTATAATAATAATCCGCAGTGAGTGGAACACTTTTCAGAGGATGGGGACAGGCAGTTTGCAGGTAATCAGGGGGTGATGCTGCCACCTCTGCTGACGTCTGCTTTTTTTTTCTTGTTCTTTTTGATGGACGGCAATTTCGCATTATGGGACTGTGCGGCACATGCAAGCCACGCGTTTCATCCATTCACTTGCATGGAAGAGTTTGACAGGCAGTGCCACCTGTCACACTTGGAATGTACATAGTTATATAGTTAAGTCTGGCTGAAAAAAAGACAAAAGTCCATCCAGTTCAACCATAAAAAAAAAAAAAAAGTTATAATCCTACCCCCACAGTTGATCCAGAGGAAGGCAATGTATGATAAAACTGCCGCAATAGGATGCAAAGTATTGACACTGTGGCACTCTGCACTCATCCCGCAGGCATCATGTTCCCTTCTATGTGGTCAGTGGGTGGGCGGTAAAAACACAGACTAACCACCCATTTTTACAGGCCCCCTGGCCACTCATGTTAAAAGGAGCTTTACTGTGTAAATCTGAGAACTGGATGGAAAGTAGTACAAATCCACTGGCAGCTAAAACGACTCTCATATGTATTTCAGAAATGCATTTAGAGGTTTGTTTTGAGTAAAGCTTTAAAGTCATACTTCTGAACAACATCCGCCAATTCATCGAATGTACCGAGAAAAAATCTGTCAGTGTATGGGCAGCTTTAGAAATACTGAGCTAAAGGAAAGACATTTGTTTACTCGATTTATGTCTCGCACACTACATGACAAAGATTTCCTGAAAAGTAGAACTTCCCGCAACTTCCAGGAACAGACAGGCGTGAAAACCTCCTGAAGAACGATGGCTGGGCTAAAGGTCGCAGGGAAGACACCATCACAGATTATTAATTACCGCCTGTTAAGAAGGGAATTCTGCATGCCTGATCAGACCGCTGAAGATTTCAGAGGGTTTAAAGTGAACCTGTCATCACAGAAAATCCATTAACCTTTATAATTGATGGCAGGCAACTTGATGTGTCTGAACTATCCATAGGGGGCGCTGTAAAGGCTGTTACAGGTTATCAGTTTAGAGTCCGTTCATTGTGAATTATGACCCTGGAATGATTGATCTCACTCATGTTTGTGGCAATATCTCACATGTGGAAAAAAATCACCGTTTACATAAGCGTGTCTGGCCTACATTTTCATTTGCGCGTGTGCACGAGGGGAAAGGGGTGCTTTTATTTTATTTTTCCCTTTACTGCTATCACAGGTGGGTGAACAAGCTTTGGCCAGGTGACAGGTACCCTTTAGAGTCCTTTCAGCCTAGGTGCACACCTATGTAGTTTGCGTTGCATTTTGCACATGATTTTGTGCGGAGTTTTTTGATGCATTTATTTTTTTATTTAAATTTTTTTTTTCTTGTTGCTAGGCAGATTTAAAAATGCAAAACGCAGCAAAAATGCTTCAAAAACGCACTACATGCTTCTCTGCAGCGTTTCCATTAAAGTCTATAGAACCAAAAACGCAACTTTTTGTGTTCAAAAAAGTCCCTGACCCTTTAAAAAAAAACGCATCAGGTGAAAACATGGAAATGTGAACATGTCCCAAAGGAAATCATGTTCAATGGACTGTAGTGCATTTCTGCAAAACGCTGCAGAAAATGCTTAGGTGTGAACCTAGAGTCACACGGGGTGGACCTGTTCAGTGGATCCACTTGCTCAGTGGGGGATCTCTCTGCTGATGGCTGGGGTCAGTGTGGGAGGAGTGGTGCCCCATCGTTGGGGTCAGTGTGGGGGAGGAGTGGTGCCCCATCGTTGGGGTCAGTGTGGGAGGAGTGGTGCCCCATCGTTGGGGTTGGGAGGAGTGGTGCCCCATCGTTGGGGTCAGTGTGTGGGAGGAGTGGTGCCCCATCGTTGGGGGGTCAGTGTGGGAGGAGTGGTGCCCCATCGTTGGGGTCAGTGTGGGAGGAGGTTTTGTGGATCGTTGGGGTCAGTGTGGTGGTGCCCCATCGTTGGGGTCAGTGTGGGAGGAGTGGTGCCCCCATCGTTGGGGTCAGTGTGGGAGGAGTGGTGCCCCATCGTTGGGGTCAGTGTGGGAGGAGTGGTGCCCCATCGTTGGGGTCAGTGTGGGAGGAGTGGTGCCCCAAGGGCCAGATAAAGGAATGTAAAGGGTCACATTCGGCCCCAGGGCCACAGTTGGGAGACCGCTGATCTAAATTGTACAATCTCCTTTAGATTTTCTGAACCGCAAGGAACTGTCTGATTGGATTATACGGTGGACTGATGGTTGAAATATCAAGGAAAAATAATTGGTGTGCCTTTTGAAAATCGTAAGCTACTGTTTGATCAACTTTCTACAGTACTGGAAATCACAAATCTATTGAAGTAAAAAGAGAAGAAAAAAAAAAAAAAAAACACAGACCAGTCTCTCATTTTAAAAGTCAACTAAAAAGGATTGTGCATTGACTGATCTATCAGAAAAGGTTCTGAATATACACCACATATACTTATGATTTTTAATTCGGTTGGGATATAAAAAGATCGGATTATTGTTTGTGTGTGGCCACCTTAAAGACGACCTGCAGGTATTTTTTTCCATCCATTCCTGAGGTTTCTACAGCTCTACCACACAGTACATTCCTGCCTTGCAGGGGCGAAGACCGGGTTGTTTTCAGCTGCAATTCACTTAAACTCACAGGTCTCCTCAGCCCATGACTAGACATTGAAGAGATGAAAGGGTTAATCACAACTAAAGGGATGCAGACCCTGCCACTTTCCTTATTAGAACAATGCAACTACATCAACTGATTGATAATGAAGCCACAAACTCAGCTCAGCTCTCTCACTCTGCTCTTTCCCACTACTAGCAGTTACAGCCAGGGAAGCCACTGATTCAAACACAATCTGTGATCAGCTGCTTCGAAGGGGGGGGGGGGGGGGGGAGAGGTCTAATAGACCCCTGATGTTTCTGTAAACCTTCCAATTGGGTCTGCCTGCCCATTTTTCAGGCGGACCCAGTCGGAAACCTCCATTCTCCTTTATGGAGCGGTCAGTGTAAATGGACATGTGTTCATTTACACCCATCGACATCCAATACTGACACCAATGACGGGGCGCCATTCCTCCCGTACGGACACCAATGACGGGGCGCCATTCCTCCCGTACGGACACCAATGACGGGGCGCCATTCCTCCCGTACGGACACCAATGACGGGGCGCCATTCCTCCCGTACGGACACCAATGACGGGGCGCCATTCCTCCCGTACGGACACCAATGACGGGGCGCCATTCCTCCCGTACGGACACCAATGACGGGGCGCCATTCCTCCCGTACGGACACCAATGACGGGGCGCCATTCCTCCCGTACGGACACCAATGACGGGGCGCCATTCCTCCCGTACGGACACCAATGACGGGGCGCCATTCCTCCCGTACGGACACCAATGACGGGGCGCCATTCCTCCCGTACGGACACCAATGACGGGGCGCCATTCCTCCCGTACGGACACCAATGACGGGGCGCCATTCCTCCCGTACGGACACCAATGACGGGGCGCCATTCCTCCCGTACGGACACCAATGACGGGGCATTATTCCTCCCGTACGGACACCAATGACGGGGCGCCATTCCTCCCGTACGGACACCAATGACGGGGCCATTCCTCCCGTACAGATACCAATGACGGGGCGCCATTCCTCCCGTACGGACACCAATGACGGGGCGCCATTCCTCCCGTACGGACACCAATGACGGGGCGCCATTCCTCCCACTGACACCAATGATGGGGCACATTCCTCCCACGGACACCAATGACGGGGCGCCATTCCTCCCGTATGGACACCAATGATGGGGCACTATTCCTCCCATACTGACACCAATGACGGGGCATTATTCCTCCCACTGATACCAATGATGGGGCATTATTCCTCCCACTGATACCAATGATGGGCACTATTTCTCCCACTGACACCAATGATGGGGCACTATTTCCCCCACTGACACCAATGACGGGGCACTATTTCTCCCACTGACACCAATGATGGGGCACTATTCCTCCCACTGACACCAATGATGGGGCACTATGGGGCACTAATCCTTCCACTGACACCAACAACAGGGCACAAATATTTCCCCTTATAGCATAGATGGGACATTTTCTACTTCCAATGGCCACAGCCCAGCCTCCTTCAAGTCTGAAGCACAGTAATCTGGCCCTTTGTTTAGAAGGTTTTTGGAGTCCCTGGATTTAGATTGTAATGTAAATGGCCAAATAAGAGATCTGTTTTCCAACTTTTTCTTTCAAAACCTGTCATCACCGATATCGCCGGTGGATCTATTCAAATCAACTGGAGCTGTGCTGTTGTCAGCAGTTGCTAGATGCTGTAGGCTGACCTCCAGAAAGATATAAAACCATGAATGCAGCTCTGTATTCATTAATATATAATGGAGACCAAGGCAGAAGCAGCACAAAAGAGGCAGTCATTAGAACTACAGTGCAAGTAACATGCTGATAGGAGGAGAGAGCAGAGTGATGAGCTCAGTGTGTTTTGGGTACTTTCACACTGATCCGTGGCAAAAATGCAGCGGTACGTGTTATTTTTTAAAGATCATGTGACTCACAAACCGCACCAAAAACGCAACGCAGGTGCATTTTTGATGCGTTTTTGCTGTGCTTACCATTGACTTCAAGGGGAGGTGGCTTTTTTTCTTTTTATCTGCACAAAATGCAGCACACGCAGCATGCTAAAAACGCACCTGACCCGCAACGGATCAGTGTGAAGAGTTCCATAGGATTACATGTAGTGGTGCACCGAAATTAATAATTCTTGGACCGTAAACGGAAATTCTGCAAATCACTGCGATTCTGTCCATGATTTGCAAACACAGCATGACCATGTGAAAATGCGCAATCGCGTGCTCAGGTGACAATCACTTCAAATGGCACCTGAAACCGCGGGGTGTTTGTGCTACGATTGCGGCATGTTTTTTTCACACTTGGAAAAAGCACCGCGATCGTGCAAACAAAATCGCGGGACGTGCGAAGGACAAAATCAGTTCCGGAACCTTTCTCAGCTGTTGCGTGTCTCACGATTTTGTTCGCATGATTGCAGTTCATTTGCCACAAGGAAAAACGTGCCGCAATTGCAACACAAATGCCGTGGTGAAAATTACAAAAAATAAATGAAAATTTGGGATTTTCATTCTCTTTTGGCAATCATAGTAAACATCTCGGAGAAAGGACTCTCCCTAACGTTGACACAGACAGCAACATAAACCTGACAGGGGTTCTAATCCTTCTCCACCCCACACAGACCTCACTCCGAAATCACTTCCTCCCCAAACAGAATGGGAGAGGATATCTCCGATGTCAGGAACCCCGCGAGGTTGTAATGTTCTTTCCCCATTCTATTCAAAACGTTACAAAAGTGTAATGTAATGTCTATTGTGGACACTTCTCATAAAAAAAAAAAAAAAAAAAAATTCATCACCGTACTCACGGCTGTGGCAAATACGGGGTTAAAAAGGGAGCTGTGCAACAAATAGCTGAAGAATGTGCAAATAAAAAAAAAAAAAGTTGATAATGGCTTTAACTGCAGCGTAACAGATCACCCCGGGGATTGTCTTCTAGGAGAGCCCAGGATGATCATACAAGGCGAGGCCGCGTCTGCCATATCGGGGCTGGGGGACGAGGGGTTAACCCACCCGCAGCGCTGGGTGACGACTGGAGGGAGATGGGGGCCTTTCCGACACAACATCCAGTGGTGTCACCGCCATCTACGCGTGGATCCTCCCTGAAGATCCCAACTTGCAGCACTCGGGGCCAACTTTACATGAAGAACATCTGTATGTGTGTACCCTACTCCACCGCACAGCTGTATACTATGTAGTGTGTGCGTGTATATGAGATATATATATATATATATATATATATATATATATGATACGATAGAAATACACACATACACACAATAGAAATACACACATACACCATTATAGATCACTCCCCATAGAGATATATATACACACATCTCTATGAGAGAGTGATCTATAATGGTGTGTGTGTGTGTGTGTGTGTGTGTGTGTGTGTGTATGTGTGTGTGTATGTGTATATGTGTGTGTGTGTATATGTGTGTATGTATGTATGTGTATGTATGTGTATATATATATATATATATATATATATATATATACACACACACACACACACACACACACACACACACACACTATTATAGATCGCTTTTTATATATATATATATATATATATATATATATATATATATATGACAGATATTTGTGTGTACTGTATACCACTGCACAGCTGTATACTGTGTGTGTATACACACTCACCAGCCACTTTATTAGGTACACCTTGCTACCCACTGTGGTATTCTGCTGCTGTAGCCCATCTGCTTCAAGGTTTGATGTGTTGTGCGTTCAGGGATGGTATTCTGCATACCTTGGTCGTAACGAGTGGTTATTTGAGTTACTGTTTCTTTCTTTCATCTTAAACCAGTCTGCCCATCCTCCTCCGATTTCCGACATCAACAAGACATTTACATCCACACAACTGCCGTTCACTGGATATTTTCTCTTTTTTGGACCATTCTCTGTAAACCATAGAGATGGTTGTGCGCTAAAAGTCCCAATATATCAGCAGTTTTTGAAATACTCAGACCAGCCTGTCTGGCTTCAAACTATGCCACGGTCAAAGCCACTTAAATCCCCTTTCTTCCCCATTCTGATGCTTGGTTTGAACTTCAGCAAGACGTCTTCACCACATCTAGATGCTTAATTAAATGCATTGAGTTGCTGCCATATGATTGGCTGATTAGAAATTTGTGCTACCAAGCAATTGAACAGGTGTGCCTAATAAAGTGGCTGTGTGTGTGTACACACAATGCTGGATCGCCAGATGTACATGTACTGAATCACCATTACACATCATTATTAAAAAAAAATATATATATATATATACGTACATACATACATACATACACACACACACACACACACACAGGGCTTGACAAATCCCAGATACTAGATCACCATGGGGAGTAGAAATTGCATCTTGGCACCTGGGTTTACACACTGTCCATTGACTTTAATGCACACCACCTCAATAGGAACACACTAACTATCCTGTCATGCAAATCTGTGCGTTTGAAAATGCATATGTGAACCAGGGCGATTCACTTTGCACCTGTTCGTTTTGGGATCACTGCGATCCCAAAAACGCAGGTTCGGGTGACATTTTCACCTAAAACGAGGTGCAATTTTGCTGTGGTTCTCGCAAGGCAAAAATCACATGGAGATTGTCGCCCAGCCCCATGCGCTGACAACCCACACTATGGTAAAAAAGAAAGAAAAATAAATTTAAAAAAAAAAAAAAAACACTGATCCTAAATTCAAAATAAAATGTGTAAAAAAAATAAATAAATGATATATATCTCAATCATAGTCCTGGGTCTGCAGCTTTTTACTGCAAAAAGAAGAAGCTATATATAAGGGCAGTGTATAGATTTGCTCATGCCACTGGAGGCATCATCCATAAATATACAAATGGGAAAATGACCCATTCAGTGGGATTTTTAATATACCCCCCAGTGGTATAATGTATACATATACAGAGTAAAAATCCACGGGATGAATGCTGAAGCATTCACGTTTTGGAGATCTCAAGTCCTGATGAAGCACAGGATCCCACGAAAGGTGTCGGCCTTTCTATTCCGATCTCCAGGACAAAACATTTGGCTGCTACTGTATATGTACAGTCCCTCGGAGTATCATGAATTACAATATGTGAACGCTTCAAAATGGTTTTAACATGTTTTAATAAAGCGGATTTTTACTCTAGGATTCTGTATACATTAGACCAGTGGTGGGCAACCTTTTCTTTCAACTGTGCCAAATCTCGCCAAAACCACGATTGAAATTTATTTTGAGAGCCACATTTTTAAAACTGAAAATACATCCCCCATATAGTAATTCAGCCCCCATATAGTAATTCAGCCCCCATATAGTAATTCAGCCCCCATATAGTAATTCAGCCCCCCTATAGTAATTCATTCCCCATATTGTGTCAATTCACTTACCTTTGCTCCGCGCGTTCCTCTCGTCGTGTTCCCGCGCCGTTCCGGTCTTCAGGGCGGACTGTGAGAGGAGAGGAGTTCGTCACGCTGCCCCGCCTACATCCTGACAGCCAATGTTTGCCACGCTCCGCGGGCCGGATTAAAAGGTCCGCCGGGCCGTAGTTTGCCCATTGCTGGGCTAGCTGCAGAGTCCTGACTTTTGGGGCGGCCGCCCGAGAGGAGGGATGGGGGGAGCGGGCGCCCGGCACACAGAAGAGCCGCATTAATGTGTGTAAAGAGCCGCATGTGGCTCGCGAGCCGCGGCTTGCCGACCACTGCATTAGACCACTGGGGGTATATTAAAAGTCCCTGAACTGGTCATTTTTCCCCCACTCGGCTACTGCACAAAAATCATAGCTGCTCTGATGCCAGATTCTACAAAAAGTGCTATAAGCCCTGGTTCACACCTGTCTGACTTGTCATGTGATTTGACAGTTCCAAATCGCATGACAAGTCGCAACTTATTGTCAGCAATGTCACCGTTCAAATTGGTGCGACTGACAGATTTTGAAAATAGCTCCTGCACTATTTTTGGCGATTTCAGGTGCGTCTTGCACAGACATTTGTGCATGAAGTTGGGCAGCTTGCACTCAAAATCACACTGACCTGCAGCTTTGAAATCGTGCTACTTCAAGTGACCCAACGTCATTTCAAAGTCGCATTTAGCATGAACCAGGGGTAAGGCTCCATACACTCTAGCTTTAAAAAAAAAAAAAAACGGAAGTGCTCTTGGCAGAAAAAAAATGCTCAATTTGAA